CGCAAAAAGCCGTAGACGTCGGTCGACTGGCGCGTCAAAGTCGCAGGGGTTGCCTACGACGTCCTTGAGGAGCGGGTATCAGATAATACACTGGCTCACGCCGGTCGCCGAACCAGCCTCCGAAGATTGAAGAAACTTCATGGCGACGCCGACGCGATCCTCCAGTGAAGTGGCATCCCCAGCAAGGGAGGCCGCGAAGGGCAAATTGCGGGCAGCGAGTCGCATCACCTTCTTGAGGCACACCAGTTTGCGGAGTTTAGAGGGGGCAACCTCCTCGCCCAAACGATCTTGCCATGCAAATGCGACTCGACGAGGCCACTCCGGATTCTCCATAACGTCGTCTGGCAACGGCGCGTCCTCGAACAAGGGGTGCCGGGGCAGAGCTCGACGAAGACTTACAGCTCGGTGTCTAGATAAGCCATGCGTCAATGCCAGCCCCGCGCACTTCAGCTTCCGGTCGACGCCCTCCACGACGCTCTGATTGCTCCAGAACCTGTCGAGGCGGGAGCGGGAGGCGGGGGGGGCGCACGTCAAGTCAAGCTGGCGAAGTTCACGCAGACCACGTGGACACTCAGCAAGACGACGCCAACAAGCCTCTTCACCGCGGTCCCGCGCGCCCGTCGCAGCTCCAGAATTGACCCGACGACGGCCGTCTGGCGCGGTCATGTAATTTAAATCGCCCCCGAGGAAAATGAGGACCTGGTCCTTGGGCAAAATGTGCTGAACGATACGCCGGCGCAGCGCGTCCCGGAGCTCCACGAAGGCGGGGACCCGGCGAGGGTTGGAAAGGCCAGCCGCGTCGATGTCCACCTGGCATGGCGTCGCCCCGGTGTGGAAGTACGCAACAACGATGTCAAGAGAACCCTCTGGACCGCGCAGGCGGAGCACCGCAACGCGGCCGGGCACGAGAATCTGCCATCTAGGACGCCCTCGGACATTCGCCAGGAAGCTGCCAGGAGCCCACCAAGAAGTGCAGTCTGGTGGATTGCGCCAAACTGCGTTTCCGCCAGCGGCGCCGTGCGCCCCTGTCCAAAGACCGACGTCGGCGGCCATGAACTTGCGAGCGCAATGCGAGCTCGCGCGATAACGACTGGCACCAGCAGCAAATAAAGCTTGACAATTCCACGAGACAGCCGAGGACTCACCCAGGAACGGGCTGTCATCCAGAGGAGGCCGAGGTCGTGCGCTCGCGGGAGGGCGCGGGGAGGAAGGCGCAGATGACGCCGGAGGTCACTGGTCGCGGCGATGGACAGAGGGTCGACGCCCACTCGAAGGACCTGCCCGTTCAGTGCGTTAAAAGCCTGCCGAACCTCGTCGGGGGAACAAAAATAGAAACGAGCGCGGCCGGGGGCGCAGCAGCATCCCTAGAAGCGAGGTGCACCCATTGCCCCAGTTGCGGAGCCTGCTCTGGATCCGCAGACTGGAGGTCCAGACTTCAAACCGAGCACGCATCAGGGATCAACTGCTTGATCACAATCCCGTCGGTGTCCCCGAACTCACCATTCACGCGGACCTCCGTGACGTAGTTCATCAGCGCTGAGTCCGTCTCGGGTCGGCCCCGCCGCCGGCGGAAGGCGCCGAGCGCCGCCGAGGTGGCCGCGGGGGTCGCCCATGGACGGCCTCCGAAGCGCGTGGCCCGATGCTAAATCATCGTGATCGCGTGGTCTGGATCCTCCTGGAGCGTCTTGTCGCGCATCTCATTCCACGCCTCTCGTCTTGTCTCGCATGAGGACCTTGTCCGAGAAGAGGTAGAGCGCTTGAGAGCATAGTGGCCAGGCGCGTCGCAAAGCGAGCGGACTGTGGTACTCCATGATCGTGGCGTCGGGGGAGATGCAGAAGTCCCTGTGGCCCACTACATCTGCGAGGCCAGCACCTGACGCCGCAGAAACCGAATGACCAGCTCAGTGGAGACCTCGGAAATGCTGGGAAGAAGGACTTCCACCAGCAAGCGACGCAAGTCCGGCGTGCTCCCCAAACTCCTCCAGGGCTGCCCGCACAGCAACGGCACGGGGTTGGAGCGAACTTCCAGGCCAGCGATCTTGCACATGAACGTGGACAAAAGCTCGGCGGGGACGTCAGCCCACAAGGAGTTCACCGCGGCGATCTGCACGAGCGGCCGTAGTGGGGAAAGGATCGTAGGGGCCGCGCGTGGGCCCTCCAGCGAGATCGTAAAGCACACCAATCCTTGACGAACGCGTCGGGGAGCGAAGCGGCCCAGGAGAATATACTCTACCAGCTGCAAGATGAGGTCCACGTTGCGAACAAGAGCCGCGTAGTCTGGCTTCTGCCCAAGAAGAGGGCGCCACCAGAAATCAAACAACTCTTCGGGAGAGCTCGCACCAGGAAAGTGGGGAAGAGGTACCAGCAGCGTCAGGCCCAGCGGACGTAGCTGTGGATCCGGCTGTCGCAGGAAGGCGGCCATGAGCCTCTGGAGCCAAGCCAGTACCCGCTGACCTCCCATTTTGCCCACCGCGCGCGTGTCCTCTCTCTCTCTCTCTCTCCATCATGTCCGCAAGCTGCCGATGCTGATGGACAGTCGCCGAATGGTCCTGGGAGGAGGCGTTCAGGAGCTGCGACCGGCTACCATAGCCTGGGTGCAAGCGGGAACCGAACGAACAGTCATCAGAGCGGTCTCACCAAGCTGCGTCCACCGTGGGAGTTTGGAAGGACGAAGCCGGCGGCGTTCAAGGAGTACCTCGGATAGCTGTTCCTCGCACTGGCGGCCAGCCTCAGAAGAGGCAGCGGCGACCGCCGACGCGCTGTCTTCATCTGCCTGCGGCCAAGCAGACTCCGAGGCTAGCGAACAGAAGGTAGTCGCGGTGCGCGTGCGGGTGTCGATGCACTGCTCCGTCGGCCCCGGGCCGTCCAGGGGACCACATCCGAGTATATTCCATGGGTTGGAGGCGAAGGAGTTGAAGGCGAGCTTGGTGAGAATCTTCTGGAGAGCGTCCCAAGAGCTCGGGATCAGGATGGCGAGACTCTGTATGTCCATTGGCTGCGTCATGGTGCTGGTCTGGATCAGCGAGAAATGGCGGAGCACCTCATCGACCGCAAGGTCCTGGAGCCCTTCGTCTGAAATAGAAAATGCCCCATGGACAGCCTGGGCGCCAGGGGCGGCATTCATCTGCAACGCTGCCATGCCCTGCGTGGCGCCGGAGTTGGTGTTCTCTGTGCCTACGACATCAAGGCTGTCGATGCCAGGACCTTGATCGCCTTGAACAAGATGTGCAAGTCGAGGGTCTCCCGCATGTGCAAGGCCAGGCGCCGAGGATTGGGACGAATCAGCCGTTGCCGGGCCAGAGGCGCCACCATGTGCGGCGCAGAAAGCCAAGCCTGGCGGCGCCTCGCCCTGCACCCCATGTCGGAGGCAAACCTGGCACGGCGCCATGGCAGAGGGAAGGTCGGGAGTGCAACTGAGGAAGTGTAGAAGAGCCAGAGCCGCCTTGGCTCTTGAGCCAGCGGATTCTTGAGCCAAAGGTCGCGCCATGCGGACCGTGCAACTGGGGCCTTCGGTGGAGCTCCTCACTGGGCCACGAAACGTGTGAGGGGTGTACCGAAACCGCTGGGGCCTTCGGTGGAGTTCCCTATGGGGCCACGAAACGTGTAAGGGTGAAATAGGTGCGATGGCGCCATGCGGACCCTGCCGCTGGGGCCTTCGATGGAGCTCCCTATGGGGCCACGAACCGTGCGAGGGGTGTGCCGAGATGGGCGCGGTGGCGCCATGCCGACCCTGCCACTGGGACCGCCTGTGGAGCTCCCGATGGGATTACGAAACGTGTGAGGGGCGTTGCGAAATGGACATGGGAAGGCTGAGGCAGGAACGGCATGCCGATGGTGGTGGTGCTGATGATGACGATGATAACTATGTTGACGATGCGGACGTGCAAAGGGCAGAGGCAATGATGCGAGGAGGAAGGAGGGGAAGGAGGAAGGAGTGAGGAACGCGGGGCGTTGTCTCTTCAAAACGAGGACCCAACGCCACAGGATGGTTCGGAACAAATGTTAGCCACAACAGAAGAAAGTCTGGCCCTCTTTGTTCACCTCGGTTCACCGAATTCTCAACACACTCCGCCTACCTTTCTGACCGCACCACCACCCCATTGGACTTCCCAAGAACAACAGAGTCACAAGGGGTGGCAAGGCGCGTGAGATGCTTGGCCAGCCCCCTTCTCCATGTTCTCCCTCCCGACGAGACCAAAAGCCCGTTCGAGGGTGGCGAGCAAAACAACGCACCAAAGTAAGAAATACCAGAAGAGTCAAACAGGTCCCCAAAGCCCCCCACATGACTCGACATGAACAACGATTGAACCCAACAAGGCCCAGGATTGCCAAGATTGGCGCCAGGGTGGTCCACTAGGCCTGCAGATGGCGCCGAAATGGCCCCAAGAGGCCAGGGGAGGCTGCAAAGTAGCTCCGTTGAGGGTCCCCGATATTCTAATATCGTCAACGTCGGTTTGGCATTTGTGGAGTTATGACGTTGCCCCACAATAAAAAATCAAGATTATTCCAAAATGGGTTACCCAGTCTCCGAGAGAGTCCCAAAGATTCACAAGAAGCCCAAACATGGGCTTCTGTTCCTACAAGATGGCCCCAAAGGTTCCCACACAATCTTTTGGACAGCACCGAAAAGGCTCCAAGACGGCCCAAGACCGCCACATCACGGAAGCAAGACGCCACCAGAGGCCCCAACACCTTCAAAACAGCTCCCAAGACTTCCTAGTGAACGCTAAGGTGGACCCAGGAGGACCCGAGAGGGCCCCAGCGAGCCCAAGATGGGCGCAAAAACACCCCAGAACGGCCCTGACCGATCCTCAGTACGGACCCGTGTTCGGCCGCATGCGTGACGAGACTACCCCCCCAAGGAGTTGTGAATGTCGAACTTACGTGTTATATTTTCCCTCCAGGACATCGTCACGAATATGTGTTTTTCCTGGGGGGTGTCGGTGGGATAGCGTCAGCCTCCAGGCGACTCGCGTAGACTCGCGGTGGGAAGGCGACGCCTGAGCACCAGCAGGACTCTCAGCAGGCGTGGCAGCTGAGCTGGCAGCAGCAGCCTGCTCTGGCCACATCATAACAGACAAGGACGTCAAATGCAGAAAAGATGCGGAACAAGAATCGCGCAATCATCAGAAACGTCTTGCGTTCACGCGAACTGAATACGCATACAAAAGCACAGAGCAAAGCAGACATAAAACATGCCGGCGCCGTTTGACGTGCCAAGTGCGCGCGTGCATTTGCACACGGCTGTTATACTCCACACACCCGTGACGCTATCGGGTTCCCTAATCCCCCACCTCCATCTCAACCTACATCGGCCTGCCAACATTCCCGATAAATAAAAAAAAGAACGACAACGACGACAATGACAACAACAATAATAATAATAGTAATAAGAACAGCAGCAACAACAACAGCAGCAGCAACAACAATCATGTAAAGACTGTTCGATCCGAGCTGCTCGCGTGCCATTCAACACATGTATCCCAAACCCTCGAAACCCGCCCTCTTTGTCTTCGATCGCACCCCCTTCTGGACTAGCGGCCTACTCTCATCAGCAGGCGCCGCAACAACAACGGCCCTGCTCGAGACTTTCTACATTTCTATTCAGGGCCAGGTCCTTGCCTCGCCTCCGACAGCCCCCATCACCACCAAGGCAATCTTGTCGCTCGATACTTCCTTGTGCTTTACCCTTGGCTGGGGCTCCACTGGCGGTCCCGCATCGGCGCAGCAAGGCGCGGGCATTCGTTTTCGAGCCTGGAGATGTTGAATTTCTTCGGAGGAGTGTTTCCAAGACCTCATTGTGCGGGAAATCTGGGAATGGGGATAACGAACCCCGCGATAGAAGAATAGTCCCCCACGATGGGGATGGTTATCATGATGGTCGCATTCTTCGCGTGGAAGCATCGCGCATGAGGGTAAACTGATTGATGTTGTTGTTGCTGTTGCTTCTGTTTTTGAGGTCGCATTTCTGAAGAATTATTATTGTTGATCCCCCCTGCCTGGTGCACATTGTATTTTGGCAATTCGAGTGTCCTTCTTGGGGCTCGCACCCTGTGTTTTAATCAAGGAAGTCTTCAGCCTCAAACTGAGCCCTTGGCCTCCAAGTTACAACAACAACAGCTCTCGCCTGAAATTTCCCCGCAGTGCATTCCCACATCGCGCTCTCGCGCGGGACTTCCTCACAATGTATGCAGAAATTTCGCTCTCGCGTGGGAATTTCCCGCCTCGACCCTCAGGGATCACGTTCTCGCTTTGGCCAATCTCACGGCTTACTTGCGGATTACGCTATCGCTCGGGACGTCCTCGTGATCCATGCAGGACGCACGCTTCAGCAATCCGCCTTCTCGACCTGGCCGCCTGGTCCCGCCTTTCCGACCCGCCAGTTAGGGTGTACCCGCCCGATCTGCCCGTCTGGTTCTGCCAGGTGTTTTCTGGTCCGAGCCCCCCTCCTGCTACTGTCTTCTCTCCCTCTCGTGCTCCATACTCCTCCCGCCCCCTTGTCCTTTTCTCCCATTCGTCCTTAGTGAAACAAAACGAAGTCTCGAGCGGGAACGCTGGTCTTGTTGGGACAGGGGCTGCCAGTGGCGAGGAAGAGCGCCGTCCCGAGACAAAAAGGAAGAAGCCTCGACCGGGAGCGTCGTCATCGCAGGGAGCGGCGCCAACGCAAAAAGAAAAAGCGCCAATCCAGCGAAACGTGGGGGAAATCTCGAGCGGGAGCGCTGGTTTTGGAACAGCGGCTTTCGGCGGGAAGAGGAACACCGCCTTAAGTAAAAAAATTAGCCTGGCGAAGAACCCAACCCCTAATTTTAACGCGGGGCGACTATAAACAGGACCGTTCAATGCACGAAAACACCTTGAAGGGCCTCCAAAATCCCTGGATCGTTGCGCCAGAAACGGTCAAACTACTCCCGCCGTCGCCCATTCACGCGCGCACTCTCACTACACACATTGGAAGCAAGGACGGACGCGAAACGCGTGAGAGGCGTGCAGAAATGGCACGAAGGCGCCATGCGGACCCTGCCATTGGGGCCTTCGGTGAAGCTCCCTATGGGTCCGCGAAACGTGTGAGGGGTGTGCCGAAATGGTCGGGGCGGCCGCATGTGGGCCCTGCCACTGGGGCCTTCGGTGGAGCTCCCTCGGGGCCACGAACCGTGTGAGAGGTGTGCCGAAATGGCCGGGGCGGCCGGATGTGGACCCTGCCACTGGGGCCTTCGGTGGAGCTCCCTGAGGGCCACGAACCGTGTGAGGGGTGTGCCGAAATGGTCGGGGCGGCCGCATGTGGACCCTGCCACTGGGGCCTTCGATGGAGCTCCCTAAGGGCCACGAACCTTGTGAGGGGTGTGCCGAAATGGTCGGGGCGGCCGCATGTGGACCCTGCCACTGGGGCCGCCTTCGGTGCAGCTCCCTAAAAGGCCACGAACCGTGTGAGGGTGTGCCGAAATGGTCGGGGCGGCCGCATGTGGACCCTGCCACTGGGGCCTTCGGTGGATCCCTAAGGGCCACGAACCGTGTGAGGGGTGTGCCGAAATGGCCGGGGCGGCCGCATGTGGACCCTGCCACTGGGGCCTTCGGTGGAGCTCCCTAAGGGCCACGAACCGTGTGAGGGGTGTGCCGAAATGGTCGGGGCGGCCGCATGTGGACCCTGCCACTGGGGCCTTCGGTGGAGCTCCCTAGGGGCCACGAACCGTGTGAGGGGTGTGCCGAAATGGTCGGGGCGGCCGCATGTGGACCCTGCCACTGGGGCCTTCGGTGGAGCTCCCTAGGGGCCACGAACCGTGTGAGGGGTGTGCCGAAATGGTCGGGGCGGCCGCATGTGGACCCTGCCACTGGGGCCTTCGGTGGAGCTCCCTAAGGGCCACGAACCGTGTGAGGGGTGTGCCGAAATGGTCGGGGCGGCCGCATGTGGACCCTGCCACTGGGGCCTTCGGTGGAGCTCCCTAAGGGTCCCGAACCCTGTGTTCGGTGGAGGGGTGTGATGGGTGTGCCGAAATGGTCGGGGCGGCCGCATGTGGACCCTGCCAGTGGGGCCTTCGGTGGAGCTCCCTAGGGGCCACGAACCGTGTGATGGGTGTGCCGAAATGGTCGGGGCGACCGCATGTGGACCCTTCAACTGGGGCCTTCGGTGGAGCTCCCTAGGGGCCACGAACCGTGTGAGGGGTGTGCAGAATTGGTCGGGGCGGCCGCATGTGGACCCTGCCACTGGGGCCTTCGGTGGAGCGGGGCCACGAACCGTGTGATGGGTGTGCCGAAATGGTCGGGGCGACCGCATGTGGACCCTTCAACTGGGGCCTTCGGTGGATCTCCCTAGGGACCACGAACCGTGTGAAGGGGATGCCGAAATGGTGATGAGAATGATGATGGCGACGAGGATGACGAGGAGTATGGAGATGGATGTTGATGATGATGATGACGACGACGATGATGGTGATGCCAAAGATGAAGAAAGCTGAGGACAATGATGAGGACGATGATGATGATGACGATGATGATGATGATGGTGATGATGATGATGGTGATGATGACGATGCTGTTGATGATGATGATGATGACGATGCTGTTGTTGTTGATGATGATGATGATGATGATGGTGGCGATGATGGTAATGGTGATTATGGCAGTAATGGCGATGACGACGAGGGTAATGACGACGGTGGTGATGGGAAGTGGGACGGGGGGGATGGGAACGAAGCGCGAGGGGGAGGAGGAGAAGAGGAGCAGGAGGAGGAGGAGGGGGAGGAGGAAGGATGGAGCGCGGCGCTGCGAACTCAAAACGAGGACCCAACACACAGGAGGGTCGGGAAAAAGAAGCCTCGAGCAGGATCTTTGTTTTTGCTGGGGCGGCGCCAATGAGACAAATAATAGTGCGCCAGTCCAAGGTATAACGGAAGGAAATTCCGAGCGGTAGCGCTGGTTTTGTTGGGACGGCGGTTTTTGGCGGCGAGAAGGAGCACCGCCTGAAGTAAAAAAGGCCGTCTCGAAAGGAGCGATGCTGTTGGTGGGGGTGGCGCCGATAAGAGAAAAAGCGCCAATCCAAAGAACAAGGAAAGAAATCCCGAGCGGTAGCGCTGGTGTTTTTGGACGGCGGTTTTCGGCGGCGAGAAGGAGCACCGCCTTGAGTAAAAATGAGGACGTCTCGAAAACGAGCGTTGTTGTTGCTGGGGGCGGCGTCGATGAGAGAAAGAGTAGCGCGGCGGTCCAAGAAAAAAACGGTGAAGTCCCGAACGGCAGCGCTTTGAGACGGCGGTGTTTGGCGGCGAGCAATATCCCAAGCCGCTCGAGCGTGAACGCAGTTGGCGCCAAGGCGCCAGGGGGGTCCAACAATAAAAATTCTGCGGTATTTTACCATCAACAGCAACAGCAACAGCAGCAACAACAACAACACTCATTTTAAAACGCTTCGCTCTTATCTTCGATCATACCCGCCTCTGCATCTTCGATCGTACCCCTATCTGGGAGTATACCGTTCTTCCCTGAAGGCCGGGTTCCGGCAAGCGGCGGGGCGCCCGCGGACCGTCGGCCTGGCCAGTGGCAGCGCCGATTGGCGGCCACCCGACCCCAAGAGGACGGACAGGAAACCACGACTACGACGACGACGACAGACGACGACCGCAACGACGACTACTACCAAAGCTGCGACTATTTGTCCTGTTTTATTGCATGAGACGGCGTTGGACTTCAGCTTTTTTTTTTCAAAAAAAAAAAAAAAAAAAAAAAAAAAAAAAAAAAAACTAAAGCACACCGCTGAACAGGAAACAATGACTTCGACAATTTTCCCACATTTGACCAGCTGCTCCGCGCTCATCGTCGATCTACTTCACTAATACGTAAAGGTAATGACAGTCGCAGTTTCAACGTTTTGTTCTCATTTTCTATCGGGCCTCTGCAGTACACCAAGGCACCATTCGGCAAGTAAAACATTAAAGTTCAGGGGAAAAGACAGGAGAGATGGCAGAACGGCGGCCGCCGGAGCCAGCTCAGCAGGCCGGCGGGCAGCGCACTGCCGGAGGGAGGACGGGGAGAACGAAAGAAGAAAACAAAGACAGACACAAACGAG